GGGGGGGGTGGCTGGGGGGGGGGGGGTGAGAGGTGCCTTACTCGTCCTTTGGAGCCCGTGTGTTTGCAGTTCATCTGGATATTTGTTGTACGTAAAGCTTTTTCTGATATGCAATTGCAATGTATCTCATCTATTGTTCCAGATTGCATGCCTGAGTCTTGTGTACTATTCGGGGTCTGAGGACCTTCGCAGAAGGAACATTGTGAAACTCGTCGATGCTCCATAGCGGTCATGTGGCCAGACATCCAACTACAGCCGCAGAAATCTGAAGGCATTTCGACCTCCCTCTCCACCCTTGTAAAACCATGATGGCATCCAGGATAGTCCGTGGCGGTACCTAACCCTTGTAGTAAAGGTCGTTTCACGACTGCTGCAGACCGCCTCTGTCGGAGCACAGGGGAAAGACACCTGAGCAGTGGTTTCGGGGCTGAGAAGTTAAGCCCCCGTGTAGTAATTAGGGATGCCTTCCCTTAAGAGTGAACGGCCAGTCCGCCAAAAGCGTCTTTGCTTCTGAAACCTGTCGGTTCGGGGGTTCATTCAAGAGCAAGGCTTCGGAATCCAAGACTGCGAGACCTCGCTCTTGGAGCTCAAAGGCTCAGCTTCAGCTTCGAGCAGAGGAGAGGCTCGGGGATTCGGTGATCTGCCACCCCAGGACCGAAGTTCTGGCAGAGTAAACGAAGACTAGTGCGAATACCAACCTTCATACCAACAACAAGGACAAGAAGGACACTAGCAAGATTAGCGGCAGCAAGATCAACAGTAGTGGTGCTCTGCATGGCCCCAACCAAGACCCTAAGTTCGATTGCCGAAAACGGGAGAACAATCCCAAAGTCTGTGCCCCTCTTCAGCTAAGAATCTGAGAAAAGAAAGCGCCCAAACGATTGCACGCGGCGGATGGCATGCGCCTGATGGCCACAGCTTGAAGGATGGCACTGGTTCATGTGGCAGTTCATCAACATAAGATACCCGCCCGCACAAAGAACCCTTCCAGCAGACACCCAACCTTGAGAATGGGCCAAAAGGGCTGATGTGCTTCCGTGATGAGACTCCGAAGGTCTCACGAAGGGATCTCCAATGGTTCCGGCCAGATGTCCTACAGGATCTCGTAGATGTGTGTCTTGTGGGATCCAGGTTTCGCAGCTGCAGCCTCTGAACCATGCCAGGCTGTAGCATGATCAGGGGATGTTCTCCTGTTGCACTAGTAGCTGCTGCACGGACGACGACAACGACTACCACTGCCACTGCAAGTTTCCCCTCTACCTCAATACCTGCATCGCCGCAATTATTGAGAGCTTGCCTGAGCGTCTGTTTCTGCTGCCAGAGACTGAAGCCCTGGACGTCGTCCCGCAAGCTCGGCAACAAAGCACTCAAACCGTCATCCAAAATCGAAGCCGTGCCACTCGAACATTCTGATAACCACTGCGGAAAGACAACAAACATGGAAACAACCAATTAAGTCAGTCTGCTTCTACCGGTGGCAATTTCATATGGAGCTGCTGTGTAACAGGCAAACTCGCGGATACGATTTGCATCACTCTTATCGGCATCATCAGCAGCATCATCGTTATCATCATGATTATCCTTACCAGCACTGCCATCATGACGGATGACGCTCAGAGGCATGATATCTGTACCCGGCAGAGATGACTACTGTTGCAGCAGGCCCGACGACGACGGAGCTCCTATGACCGTAGCTTTTCTTGTCGTAAATGTTCGCAGGCATAGGAGAAAGCGCCCCATAATTTTTACCGTCATGCTGCCGGCGTGAACAGGACTGTCATTTTCAAAGCCAAGCACAGTATGGAGGTTCAAGAAAGAGGCCTACTTAGCAACACACAATAACGAACAAAAACGATGCGGACAACGCTGACCCCTTGGCTGAGAAGTTGGCTATCCGCAGGGCTTCGTCATGTGCCAGCTCGCCCCACATCCGAGCGCCCTGGTCCGTCATGTCGGTGTCCCACATGCTGCCCTCGGCTGAAGGCTTTCCCGACTTCTGTCATATGTTGTAGTGAAGCTCTAAGGACCGTCTGAAGGGCCGAAACTCATGGAAAAGGATAATCGGAATCTCTGAAATGAGTGGGTATGTATTTCGACGCGCTGACAAGACATGGTCTCAGCCGCAGGCGCGTTTGATTTGATCGGTTTCGTACATCACATTCGCCAATCTGCGTATGTCGTCCTCGCAAGGAGATCCAGTGCTGCTTTCCATCAAGTTAAAGACCTTTCTCGGAGCTTATGGAGTGTCCGTCTCAAACTCAATTCTCAAGGCTGAGCCAGTGTTCTCGGATCCCACACGCTGACAGTCTTGGCAGACTTCTGGGTGTCTAGGCGTTGATTCCTTTCTCCCTTCGAGAGGTGCCTGACTTGCACGTAGCACCAGTAAGCAACTCCAGCCTGACCATCCAACCTGACCGAGCTTAAGGCGAAACTCCCCAGAAGGACCACAGGCGGGTCATTCGTAGGCCGCTCCCCCTTGGCAGTTCGTATCGCCAGGGGCTCTGCCAGCTGATCCAGCCTGTCATCACCATCGTGCTTCAGACCAAGATACTCAGGTTTTGTGAAAGTGGTGTCCCGGGTGGTGGAGTTGAGGTCTTAAAGGCTGACCACCCTCTGCTTCATCCAGCAAGTGAGATGATGATGCTGTCTCCTGGCCTCTGCAGTAGGCTCCAATACCTTGCAGCAGCTCTCAATCCCCAAACACTCCCCAAGCAGTTGTGGCAGATGGCCTGCCCTCGAAATCAGCCCCAACTCGAACAAGATGATCTAAGTTCTAAGCATGACTGAAACATTGGGCAGCGGAGAAGACGGGCAAGACGACTGCAAGAGAAGGCCTCACAATGCAGTCGCTTCACTTCCTCCCACTCTATAAACCCAAGCGACCTAAACGATCACACCGTTCCGAGGGCCAGGCGGGCCAGGAAGCAGCCGAAAGACCAGCCTCTGAGCTTCCTGGTTGGCCCCTGACGCGAGTTTCGGCTCACAGGAACGGGGCAGCAGTCCACCGGTGCCCCAAATCCTTTAAGCCCTGGAGTCCGAAAACCGAGGCAGGCAGGGACTGATTGGACCTTGTGCGGACGTTCAGGCCTTGACGCTGCACTATGCATCTTCGTGAGCTGGCTGAGAGCACGAGACAAAAGATCCGTCTGACAAAAGAACCGCTGATGCTTCAAAATACACATGCAGGCCATCCCATGCACTCTTTCTCTCCGCCATCTACTTTGGTGGCGAGTCTCTGTATCATCCGAACCTACCGATCGGCGCTCGTCCGAAGACACCCCCTGACGCTGTTCGAAACCAGGGGCCTCTCCCGTCTCCCCTACAAGTGCCTGATAAAATGTTCAATCATCCGCTCGATGCAATCGTCAAAGTCTCTCTTGACGGCTGGCAGTGTCAGGTTCCCTCGCGCAGCATAGCCATGCCGCATTTCAGAGTATAAGTGACAGGCACCACCCTTCTTTTCCAAAGCCGTAGCGACTTTCCCCCCGGGCTTGTAGGTTGGCAAGTCGTTGCCAGCAGGGAGCAGCAGCACCGGCATCTGCACCTTTTCAATCATCCCCATCTCGCTCCCACTGAACACAGAGTTCTCCACATGGATGCTGGGGTGTGGGCCAACACCAGCCTTAAAGGGCAGACCTTCGGCGGATGCTTTGCAAAATGCCCAGACTCCCCAGCAGAAGCCAATAGCGCCAACGCTTGTGCAACCTTTCTCGCGCAGCCACGCCAGGACCGTCTCAGTGTCCTTACGGATGCAAGTTTCCCAAGGGTACCTGAGAAGTCATGCGCAGTTCGTGCTGCCAATGCAAAATAGTGAGTGACCTTCTAAGCTTTAATATCGAAGTTCGTTCGAGCATATTCTAACTAATGCATTCTGCTATTCCCGTGACTTGCTTGTGATGCCTCTGAGCTGCTTCTTCATGAATGTGAAGACCTGCCGGATGTTGCTGATCCGCATTCCTTCCAAGCAGGCTGGCCAAATACCACACATCAAGCTCTCAAGGGCCCTGAGGACGAGCCCGCTGTAAGGAACATCTGGACCCGCCTGAGGATTTCAAGGTTTAAGGATTCAGAGTGGAGGGCTTTAGTGTTCAGAAATATTAGGGGTTTGGAGGTGCAGCGGTTACAGCCTGCCTTGTCCGTAGTGAAGGTCATCTTAGAGAAAGAACCATCCTCCGGAAGTGTGTCGCCACGAAAGCTGTCCACGAACACCACAAAAAAGCCTGCCTCACACGACTACAAGAGCCAGGCACTGCAGTCGAACATGCCGCTTTCTGAACCCAATCTTGGTAGCATGTAATTTGTCACTTATGAACTCAGCTTCTTGCTAACATCAATCACCTGAGCCAGGATGTCGCAGATTCGCTTGATGTTCGAGCTCAGACCAAACACCTCCTGAAAAGCGATAATAGCACGAGGGCCAGGCTTGCCAGAGATGTACACTGGCAAATCACCTGAATGGCGGCCAGGAGCTTCGCAGCTATAAGGGGCATCTCACGAAACAGAGACCAAAAGTTATGTTGTACCTACGTGTGTTCTCGGAAATATCGACATGGTGTTTGAACTTGTTTTCCCCCCACCGATGGTGCTGAGCTCGCCCGTCGCCTTGTATCCGTCCTCTGCAGCACGGGGCCATGAGTCAGGTGGACAACAAGCAGCCATTTCGCACGGGAAAACCGAGGCCCTACCCCAACAACTGAGTCAGCAAATGGCTGCGGCCAGCTCGGAGCATAACTTGGCCTTTGAGTTATTCCACGTAAATGGCAAGTTTTGCTTCTTTCTCTGTGTGTGCATTATGTGTTTGTTTGCCCGGTGGGCCCCTTGGCAGGCTGCCAGGTGGCATCCAAGTATTGAGATAGTACATGCTGCTATTCGCTTCCCGCGTAGTATCTCGTCAGGTGTTGATCAGCTTCCACTTTCTAACCAACCTTGACCTGCTGCCCCCATTCGCTTTGCAACAGTATCTACCTTCCTTTGACAGTTTCCACAACAGCAAATCGGACAGATGTAGCCTGTAGCTGCTCCGACAGACGACTGGAGCCCCCAATGAGTGCTGGGAGAAGCGACTACGGATATTCTTGCCCGATCACAGCACGGCGTGGGCGTGTTTCAGAGCCAGAGGATTCCCTCTCACAAGCTCGTCCGACAAACCTCTAAACTCCACAGCCCAAACCTGAAAACCGTGAACCCAGAGCTGCTGGAACAAGGCGTGCGCCTCGAAACTTCCCAAGGGCATAGCCAATCTCAGTTCAAGCGGCACCGGGAAGACAATCACAGGGGGTCCCAGTTCACTGCTACACTTTCCAACTCACCCCTTCCGATGCGACCATATCCTTACGTGATACGACAGCTGTTTAGCCTTGTTTAGCCGTTATACCTGCAAATCCGTTCAACCTGAACATACACTGTCGGCTTGCTATCCATAATTTTGATCTTGCTGTGTTCTAGTGCAACCGGGGCAAACCGGTCGCACTAAGACCATGTGGTAGATATATTCGAGGCTTTGACACCGTGGCTTACCTTGAACGCTTCATGTCACCTCAGCCCTCAATCCAGAGACCCGAACCCTACACCCCTTACACAGTTTGGTGTCTTAGGTTCCCGACCAGCCACGGCTCGCATTTGTCCCGTGCATGGATCTCAGAATGAGGCGGGACGGAGAATTTCCCTACATGATGAAACTCGATGTTGAGCAAAAATAAATAAGTAAATAAATAAGTAGGTAAATACATAGATAAATAAGTGTGTGTATATATATACACACA